AGGTTTGAAGGTAGGAATGCAGAGCAGATACCACACAGCCCTGCTATGGCATGTCTCTCGGTGGAAAACTCCCGCTATTGCCTCAAAGCCRTGGGAGTCTCCAGATGCAGGACAGAGAGCTCATGCATTCAGTGCAAGAGGACACATCAAGTCCCTTAATTACACGAAGTTTCTTTTTAATTCTGTACTTGCATAGTGCCTAGCAAAATAGAGTATGGGTATATGAAATGAATTCCTAGGTTTAACTTCAAGGAAAAAAATATTCACATCATCACTGTGCTCTTCTCTCTCACAAAAARAATATGTCTAAAAGAATAAGGTCTGCTTTCTTTTACTTTTATGAAAATACAAAGAAATATTTTTTTTAATCAATATTCTAATGTATGACTTGCTCTTGTTTCTATGAGCGCCCTCCTCCCACTGGTTACTCAGTGTGACAAAATGAGAAATGCAAGTGGCACCGTAATTTCCATCTGTACACAGTACTTATGCCCTCAAAAAATCACTACGAAAAAGGAAAATAAAATCTAGTGTTAACATGAGTCGGTTGTTACATTCTGTTTGCTCCGTAGGGAATTTAGGTAAAGATTTCCCAAACTCTTATATACTGTAGTATATATTATCTATATTATCTATATTGTTATTATTATTATTATCAGTGAATAAGTAACTAGGATATCTCCCAGAGTCATTTTTCTAGCTGTCTCCACCGTCTTTAGCTCAGCTCTTTCTACAACGTTTGAAGATTTAAAAGGAATCTGCACATTTATTTCACAGATAAGCCTTAAAAACCCTAAAAACCTCTGACCTCAAAAATATATATTAGAAGACGAAAGTCAGCTTGCATGCCTGGTAGGAAGCAAATCTTTTCCAGCAGGATATGAAAAGAAGTGAAGATGATTAGTTTTACTGCAGTCTTTAGGACAAAGCCATGGCTTGGAAATATGAGTTACAGGTCTGTAGCCTTTACTGCTGTAATATATTCCTAGGCTCCAAAGCATGTATTTTCCCTGCTTTTGAGGGATTTTTGCTGGTGGATTTACAAAAACATCTAGGCCAGCAGTATAACCTGCATGAAGCATGGCGAGGCATCACTAATGCCTCCAGYTGCTTCAGCAGAGGCCTTTTCATGATGCCACTTCTCTACTGAACACACTGTCTCATCTTTGGCGGGGTACTAATGCTAGCCTATGGTTGCTATATAATCACCTTAAACTCTTTCACTAGTTCTGCTGCCCATTCAGCACGTAAGAATGACCTCTCTGAAATTTTAGCAAAGATGAAACAGAAATTTCACATCGAAGGGAGTTGAATAACAGAGCTGCTCTACACAGTGATCAAAGATTGTATCACAGCTGCACTAGAAAGCAGAAATCACTCCTCAGAATTCGTTTGTATTTCCCTGACAGACATTTTTAGCAAAGATTTTCTGCCAGATGAAAACAGTGTTAATTAACTGGATTGAACTCAAATCAGCAGCATTTTCTGTCTAAGGAAGCTGAAGAACTTTTTGTGCAGCTCAGCTTTGTGTGGGAAGCGGAAGATTCTAGAAGTAGAAAACTTCATGTTTTATTTCAGAAGAAAGTGCAAAGTGAAAACTACAAATATGGAAACTTGTGAATTTTTAATACATTTTTCAATGTGATTAGTGAATGTGGTGTATTTCTATATTATTTTACCTTAGGAATTTCATTAAAATTTATAAAATAGAAATTAATTCCGACTTACATTTATTATGATGAAGAATATAAACTTCTCTGAAATGCGTATCAGCTAGTTGACTTAATGTTCTGATCCAGACTCYAAATCATTTATGGGTCAAGCTGTTATATTTGCTAGCAACCACTAGATGACACTGTGTGTCTACAAATGCAGCTGAAATGGGCCTAAGATTGAATTATCAAGGAAAATCCGTGTATCATAAAACAGAAATGCAAATCATTCTATTTCACATAATAGATTCAAGTATTGTATAATTTTATGTAATTCTCTGGTTGTCCTGCATATAGACTCCTAAAACAGCCAAAGAGGAGAAAACTAGATAGCCAGCTAGGACGATGGCCTAGGAGAAAGAGATTCCTCTTCCTTTGCTGTGTACGCCACCCAGAACTGTTGCTGCTGCTTGCCTTCATTTTGTATTTCTTTGTTTGCAATATGTTGACTACAACAAAAATTGTACTCATTAATATATCATGTTGTCTGATTTCTTCAGGCATTATATTATTCGAGTTCCATACATTATTGCAGTTAGAAGCCATTTTCTTTTGGAAGATTCAAAGTTGACATAAATACCAATTTCAAAGTGGAATTCAGCATGTAAAAAATGTGCAATTGAGAAAGAAGTTCTTCCTTTTCTCAAATGGATATTTCAAAAAGATTGGTGGTTGCACAGAAAAACTTGAATTGTGKTTTCCAATCCTCTGTTTCAGCACAGCTTTTACTCTGGTCAAGGTAGTCAAGGTCAGGCTGACTTTTAAGGCTCTAGTGACTGCTGTGTATATTCGCCCCCCCAGATACTTCACCAACTATTTAGGTTGCACAATGCAGAGTGTAGTCGACTCCAGGGGTTAAGATGCCCTGCTCCCAGAGACAGCAAAACACATTTCTGCTCTCTTGGAACAGCTCTACCCCCGTGTGTAGTTGAGCTGTGCAGGGCTGAGCAGCAGGTAGAGCAGAAGCAGAAAGAGGAGATCCTGTCCGAAGAGGAGGGACTCCACATCCTTCCAACTTCACCATTTTAAAGTACTCATTAGAGTCTCCACACAAGTACATGGCTGCTCACAGTCTTTTCTGCTCTGTTCTACCATGTTTAACTGTCATGAGCTGTACATATGGAAGGGTCCAAAGAACATCTAACATCTGTGAACTTAATACCAGCATGAGCAGAAAGCATTAAGGCTGACAGGTCCTTCTGAAGGCATGAGACACAGCGTGTCTCTAGCCCTGTTCCTGTGGTTACCACAGAACAAGGAAAGGAAGTGGTGGTGAAGCACCTTTTAATTTGGGGTCACATTCACAGGATACATCCAGTCACCTAGGCTGAAACTACTATAGTAGTGACGGGCAGCTGCTGATCTGAGCTACTGTGTTCTGCCGGATCAAACATGGCAGGGGAGGCGGGACAGTCAGTGTCTTCAGGAAAGCAGAACACACATCAGCTCAGTTTGAGCCTGCTGTGCACTGTAATAAAGAGCTATCTGTGCCTTTCTCTTCGGGATCCTCAAAAGAATCAGCACCTCCTGGTGTAAAACAGAGCCATATGGACTTGGGCTTTGAACTTTGAATATGCGCGAGGACTATTTTYCCGTGAAAAAATGGAATAAGTACCCAGTACTTCAGACCTATTGAAGCTGCCTAAGTAGTTCAATAGATTGAGGCCTTGAGATTGTGGTTAAATTGACTAGAACTTTTTTTTTTTTCTTTTTTAATATACTCTGAAATATGGAAGATTCCTCCTCTGATTAGGAATGGAAAATACAGTCCTTGTCAACTCCTACGAATGTCTCTGGGGTTCTTGTTTGGGTGTTTTTTTTCAGAATGAGATGAAGCCGAGTGACCTCCTGGGGACTCCCCTGCAAGCRCCTCGCTGCAGCCCTGGCGCAGCTCTCAGCCCGGTGGCAGCGAGCCCAGGSCGCTCCAAAGCCCCAGGCTCCATCAGCTTCAGACTCCTGTGGCTTCCAGGCTCCTAACCCCAGATCACGCAGTCTAAAATCTGCAATAGTTGTGCTTGGCACCCAGTCCTTCAGTAGAGAGGCTCAAAGTCTTGAGTGCCTCTGCATGAGCTGAGGCTCTGAGTATTTCTCCCCTTCATGTTGCTGGCTGTGGACTAACCAGAACCAAACCTTCTAGCTCTGTGAGCAGAGCAGTTGACATCCTGAGGACCTCCAGCCATCAGCCAGCCTGCACAGCAGGTATCCATGCTTTGCATGCTCACTGAGCATATAGGACAGGTAAATGGAGCCACCACCAGTGTGCCATTAACCAGTCCCCTGTAGAAAATGTGGTGTGTTTTCTCAAGTGTTCCCCTCTGCAAATCACCTTTCTGATTGAAAACYGCAAACTTTGGGTCTTCAACTCTTTCCAACCCAGCTTAAGGATGGCTGAAGCTGGCTAAAGCAGTAGACTTGGAAACACAAACTTCTGATCAACCTACTACATTAATTGTCAGAAAACTGGGCAAGTTTTTAAAGGAAATATGGCTGTGTTTTTGTGAAAAGTTTCCTGAAMCCGAACAATTTACAAAGGATCTGTTGTTTTTGGCAGATCAGCATTTTCCAATTACATTACATTTTTTCTATAATATTCCTGAAGAGTTCCAGTCAGGTCTTTATTCTGATTCAGTGACATAAATATGTCACCATCTACTCAAGCCAGATAGCAAATCCAGTATTACAGAAAGACCTGTTTCAAGCTGTGAGTTTTGCAGACTTGCAAATTTGCAAATGGTCTCATCACAACTTCAAATTATGATTTTGAACTCTTGAATCACATGATGCTGGGAAAACGTGAACATCAAAGGCACCGATTTATAATGAAATCACTTGATCAAATGCACCCAATGGTTACTGCTGATGAAATTTTCAGGAAGGAAGGTTAACTTTGAGTCAGATAACTAGAAATCAGCATGTTTACACACTTCCTTCCCAATTGTGTGAATGTAAAACCATCTGTGGAGTCCTGCTTCTTGGTTGAAGGGCAGGAAGGCAGGAAATGACAAAGCTAATAATGATTTACCTAAATTCAACCCACTTGATGTGATTATACTGAAATGTCCCCAGATATCCAGCAGCTRGGGGCACCTACAACATTATTAAAGAGTGTTGTAACTCTAGGGGTATTTTCACCAGCATATTCAGCTCCCCGAAAATTTAGTACCACGTTGTGTAGGATGAGCCTAAAGATCTTGTTTAGCTTCATATGCTGCTGCCTAAGGTCTTAGCTTTACATGCTGCACATGCTTTCATCAACTACATTTATTTTCTGTTTCACTGTTGCAGTTCTTAAGAACTTTCTTGCCGGCCAAAAGAAGTCACACTGGAATTTAAGATTTGAATCCTTTAGATTTCAGGTGACTGTTAGATTTAAATTCTATGGTCCAAATTGGCATCAGTCTATTCTGGCTATGTTACTCCTTGTGACTTCTAAGGAAATATGAACTACAATAGAGCAGGAGAGGTGAGTGTTCAGGAAACTTCTCACAAGAATTTGGCATCAGCGAACTTTACCTGGAAGCTTGAATTTGTCATGAAGGCCACGCTGAATGCAAACTTATCTGTATTACGCATTCAATCCCCAAACTTCTCTTTTTAGTCCACTCTTGATCAACATTGAATACAGCAAAAGTTGTAAATGTCCAATACACACTATGGAAATTTGTTAAAATATGCATAATTTTAATTACTTGACAAAATAAGCTAAGAGAATAACAACCACTTCTAGACTAATTTAATGATATTCCAGCTTCTAGGTGAGTTGAACTTAAAATGTTTACATTAACTGACCTTAAAGTGAACTCAGTTTAGAAGTAGGTTGCCTTTCACAGCTTATATGGTATGGTACTGGCACAATAAATGATGGATCACGTTCAGACCTACACCTTAATTAGAACTACAGAAAGCAACTGAGAATAAGAATATTCTTTTTTTTTTTCTGTCTTCTTTTTTTTTATCTTTTTTTTTTTCCTTTTTTTTTACAGGAGATACATGATTTGCTCTGAACTTCACTTGGACCTGTGCACCCAACTTGGAGATATGGGATTTACCACAGACTTCTGTACTGGTCGCTTAGGCACCTCTAAAGTACATAGCATGTGTGGAGCTTATTGCTTAGGTTTTACTGGACCAATGCAAATGAAACTGCTTAAATAATAACAATATCTCTTGAACCCAATAAACCCGGAGGACTTATAGTTAAAATGGCACACAGGCCAGGAGTATTATTAAAACCAATTCATCTCAATGCTGTTTTAGTCTAAGAAGCTTGCAGCTGKTTTTTGTCAAGGTTACTGTGGTTGCAGTAACCTGATGAAACCAATTTAAACCTCCCTTATTCATTTTTCTATTGCATTGTAGCTRTCCTCATTGTATGGACCTAGTGCTAACCTCAAAGATATCTTTGAAAAATAAAGGTAGACTTGGGTTTGCAGGCTTTGAGTAAACATGCTAAAACTCCTATACAAYATCAGGAGCCACCTAGATCTGCAGTTTAAATTCTGAGGATTGCCATAGAAACAAATGCAAGTTTTTCATACTGGGAAGAAACTAATGAACTAGACCAGTGAGCTAAATAATTTAGAGCATGAGTATGGGTGACTGCTTAACTCTCAAGCAGAAAGCTTATTCTATTTATAGCATAGTTTCCACTTTTTCTCTCCTTTTTTTTTTTCCATAGGTGTTTTAATAATTTACTCATTCATTAATAAAGTATTAGGGGAGGTCAGTAAGCCYACTGCCCCGTTCTGTACCATCATGTTGAAAGTGTGAGTTTAGGAGAGTTTCTTGTGAGAGCGGATAAAGAGGGTGCATAAAAATGCTCAGTTTGAGGGCAGAAGTAACGATGACAACATGTTGGCATATGTGAGCAGTCCTGTGACTGATTTATCAAGTGAAGTGTGATAACACTGCTGCCTGACTGACAGGTTCATTCCGGAGTCTGGGATGACACTACATAATTACCCTTCTGTCTAGAAATAAAAAGGCAACTTGCACAATGACAGCGTCCAACAGTTCCAGGAAGGAAATATTTCCCTGGAATAAAGTGTAGTTGCAACACAGAGAATCCCCTTCAAATTCAGGAGTGCATTCCTGAATGCAGGATCTCCTAGCTGGAAGTAGGGCATGGACCGAACGTCTGCTCTTGTTTGAAAAAGGCACATGAAGAAAAATTGTTAGGGCCACGTACCGGGACAAGTGGGAAGGCAGCAGCAAGATCCCAGAGGCAGTGCTAGGGGCTCCAGACTGCAGAATAAACAGAGAAGTACTGAATAAAAGTACTGAAAACAAGAGATAAATACTTTGGAGATCAAACAGCAGTAGAGTGTAAGTTCCCCTTGGCACCAATGAATGTCACATCAGTGCTGGAGAGATCAGTGACAGAAAGCAAGGGGCAGTTTGGTCACCATACCTGTTTTAAGGTTTTCCCTGCTACTAGTTTTTGCTCTCAGTAGCTGGAAGGAGGGCAAAGCAAAAGCTATTTAGGAAAAGAAGACCTAGGAACTCCAATCTCTAACCTACGCATAGACGTGGGTCTATGCTTCCTATGTTGCAAGACAAGGTACAGGGAGGCAAGCAGGCAAGACAGTGCACAGCACAGCATCAGAAAAAAAAAGGAGTAGGAGGAATTTCCCTGTGGATGAAACTATAATGGACCAAATTTAAAAAGCAGGGAAGCAAAATCTGGGGGAGAAACAACTCTCTCTAATCTGTCACAAGAATTATTAATTAAAAAAAAAAAAATCTGAGAAGTGAGAAGACTTACTGAAAAAAAGACCTAAAATGGGCAAACAAAAAAGTAAATGTTTGCAGTTGACAACAGGGCTATTTATAGACAACATACTAAAGCTTCAGAACAATTGCATGACTTTTACCAAACAGACTTAGAAATAAATATGCACCCTCCATCCCAAGCGCAAACAAGCTAATCTGCACTCTTTCATATCAGATCAATGGAAGATATTTTAAGTAAGGAGACAACATTTAAATATCTGAGACTGCACCCAAACGGGGAAAACAAAAAATAATAAAAAATCTGGCCCAGTAAATGCAACTGCATAAAGGAGAAGGTTGAAAAAGAGTTTGAGGGAGACCTTGCAAAATAAGTAAAATGTCATAATAACTTATTTTTCAGACAGATGAGAAGTAAAAAGTCAGGCAGAAAGTTTGTAGGACAATAGATGRTCAAAGTATGAAAGGGAGTGCTCAGGGATCATAACGTCATAGCAGAAAGGGTAAAGTTTTTCTCTTTTATTGTTTATGTCTTTGCGCYCTGTGGAAACATTAGGAGCATTTCCCCATCAGACCCCTTCTTTCTAGTGGCTGCATCTGAGGAGCTGTCACCACCTGATGTGACACTGGAAGAGGAACCATCAACAAAACGAATAATAATAAGTYACCATAGACCAGAGGTTGTTCAGAACAGAATGGTGAAGTAGTACAAATCTGAACTATTGCACATAGCATTTAACCTCTTGCTCGAAACCCGTTCAATACCAAGTGAATGGCATTTGATAAATTTGTACAAAATGAGAATTTAATAGCATCAAAAAGCACCTTTACAGGCCTTCAGAAATGATCAGAAAAAATGCAGAAGGGCAACTCTGTAGTTGCTAAGCCAGCAAAAGCAGTAATGGAGAATAAAATCGGTGAGTGAAAAAGGGGTTAAACCCTGAAGAGGCAAAGCTTGCCGATGAGACTGTGTTGTTCAGGATGATCAAAATGAAAGCTGGCTGTGAAGACCTGTAGCAGATGCCCATGATGTCAAGGAAGGAAAAAAAAATATATGCAACTGAATGCATATAAATGTAAAATAATGCCTGTGGGAGAAACAATCCTATATACACTTCAGACTCCGAAATAATTTTTATGACTTGGAAGAGAAATTTTGAAAGCTCAGTTTAAGGACTGTTTGGCCTCTGGGCAGCTAGGTTTGAGGTTGCTCATTCTGAAGTGCTGGGCCCAACGTCGCTCACTCCTAAAAGGCTTCTGAGCAGAAGGTTTTATGGCTCACTATGGTCCTTTTGAGAGACTCTTTTCCCCTGCAAGGACCACGGTGTTCAGGCTCTCTGGTGCGTGGAGCCCGACGTCGTTGTCGTTGTCCTCCGCCCGATGTCCTCGTCCTTCGCCCACCTTCAGAAGATTTCAGGCCTGTGGTGCCATCAGTAAGCCAGTAGTCGCTCATTCCTAAAAGGACTGAGCAGAGCTTTCTCTGCTTTGCTGACCTTCTTCATAGAGACTCTTTTGAGAGGAACACCAAGGGCGCTTCTATGCTCTTTGCTTTTCTGAAGCCAAGCCCTAAATGGGAAGGAGGATTTCACAGAATCACAGAATATTCAAGGTTGGAAGGGACCTCTAGAGATCATCTAGTCCAACCTTCCTGCTCAAGCAGGCACACCTAGAGCATGTGGCACACGGTGGCATCCAGGTGGATTTTGAAGACCTACAGAGAAGGAGACTCCACAACCTTCCTGGGCAGCCTGTTCCACTGCTCTGTCACCCTCACAGGTAAGAAGTTCCTCCTCACCTGGAGACCGAACTTCTTGTGCTCCAGCTTGTGGCCATTACCCCTCGTCCTATCGCTGGCCACCAGTGARAACAGCTTGTCCCCTTCCTCCCTGCATTCTCCCTTCCTGAACTTATACATATTAATCATATCCCCTCTGAGCCTTCTCTTCTCCAGAGTAAACAGGCCCAGCTCACTCAGTCTCTCCTTGTACGAGAGATGTTCCATTCCCTTAATCATCTTAGTTGCTCTTCTCTGGACCCTCTTTAGAAACTCCACGTCTCTCTTATACTGGGGAGCCCAGATTTCTAATAATGTGATTCCTAATAATGGTCAATTACTCAGCTAGAATGCTGAGATATTTTAGGGAAAAAAAAAAAAAGAAAAAAAGAAAAAGAAGCACCATTACACTATTGTATGAGCCCACAGAGCACCCACAACTTGAAAACTGTGTGCACTTCTGCSACCTTTATTTTCCCCTAGTTTTCAGGAAAACTAAAACAGCTATAGAGAAAGGCAACAAGCTTGGCCAGTTAAGCAGTAACTTCCCAGAGAGGAATGATACTCAGTCTGCAAAACAGGCAGCCAAAGGATAGTTTGACAGAGGTCTGTACACAAAGACTAACTGTGAAAAAGGTGGGTAAGAGTTAATATCCCATGTTCTTTTCCARTTCAAAGATTACAGGTATCAAAAATTCCTAGCAGATCATGAGTTCTTGGACCTGTGTTTTGAGCATGTTCCAGGGAAATGCCACTAGTTACTCTCCCCATCCTCGTGCTTGGATGCCGTGTTTAGTCACTGTCAGGAAACAGATTCCCTTCCTGAAGCCAAGTGGAGATGCTGCTCTGCATGTAGTGAAAGAGCAGGCAAAGACCACTGAAAATGGAAGAGAAAGCACCATGATGAGGGAGTGAGGGACATATGTGAGATGGAAAAAAGATCTTTGAAAATGGAGAATCGACAGATTACCATACTAATTGAGTGGTTATTTTTCTGCCTCCTGTTGGTTTAATCAGATAAAGCTGGCTAAGATTGCCAGCTGGCAAGTGAGTCCTTATCTCTACCATTGGCCAAACACAACATTCCTCTTGGTATTTCTCTGCCCGCTGGCTCTCCAGTTATTTTTTCAACTATTACTTTTCTTAAAGAAGCTCTACTCCTACTAAGTGAATTTCTAATCCATGAAGCAGTGCAAAAAATAACCACTCAGGTGGAACAGGATGCATCGTAGGGCTGATATATTCTCAGTTTTGTCCTGGTATCTCATTTTATGTTCTCTTAGGGAGAGGACGAAATTTTCATGCCATGAGAAAAATTAATTTCATTCCTCTCCTTTCCATGTTTTGAGTTTATTTGTTAAAGTTTCTTATCATGTCTGCAAAATATACAAGGACCTGGAACYGAACCATTGCAGCGAGAGCTTCCCAAGAAAATTTGGGATAAACAGACTTGTTTAGTTTCTGTTAAGCTTAAAGCAGAAGTCATTTTGGTTAAACATGTATCCCCATAGAGA